TGATGGGAATTCTATATTGAATTCATATGTCAAGTGTTGGGTTCTTGTTGGTTAGAGGGTTATTTTCCCTAGCTTTTACCTTATGCTTTAGGATAGTCCCTTAATCTCCTCCCATCTTCTTTAATTTTAAAAATCTTCTCCCTACTTTTCAAAACTCTTCTGGTTTTCTGACTTGAACCGCTTTCATAATAAACTTGGACTTAGGTCCATGCATTTGCAAAAAATATTTTCTTAATCAAACCTTAACCAACTTAATCATACTTTGACATTTTTGTGATAAGACTAAAAGTCAATCAACCTCATTCAAATCTTTTTGCCACTTTGGCTTTTTACTTTAAAATTTTCTCAAAAGATTAGACTTTTTTCAGTCCTTGTAGTGATGCGAGCTACTATACTTCTACCATATGTAGTGAAGTGAGATATTTTCCACTTGGGTGTTGAGTGAGGCTTTGTTGATTTTAAAATCCAAGCTATATCCTCCACTTTGAGATGACACAAATTATCATTTCTCATAATCATGGGTAGTAAGTATGTCTTCCACTCAGATATGACGATGATGTCGCATCTCTTAAAATTAACCAACACACTTGTGGTTTTAAAATTTTTTAAAGTAGAACTACGAGTACCCTGATCCTCTATTGCACTGAAGGTGGTAGTCATAGAAAATCTAACCCTTCTGGTTAGTATAGACAACTCATTTTCTTTATCATTAGAATCTCCTTCTGAATCCTTAACCTCTTCTGCCTGAAGAGCTTTGGACTTCTCATATTTCCTGACAGACTTGAGCGCAATAGGTTTTACCTTTCTTTGAGTTTCATCTTTTTCTAGCTCAATCTCATGGCTTCTCAAATAACTTATTAGTTCTTCTAGAGAAGTGTTGTTTAGATCCTTTGCAAGCTTGAGTGCAGTTACCATAGGCCTCCATTTGGATGGAAAGTTTCGGATAATCTTCTTCACGTGATCTTCCATTGAGTAACCTTTGTTCAGAATGCTCAGTTTTGCAACCAAGGTTTGAAATCTTGAGAACATGACTTCAACGCTTCGTCATCTTCCATATTAAAGACTTCATACTTCTGAATCAAGGCCAGCTCCTTGGTTTGTTTGACTTGATCATTTTCATCATGAGTCAGTTTAAGAGAGTCAAATATAGAATTAGCAGAGTCTCTATTTGTGACCTTCTCATATTCAGTATAGAAATCACATTCAGTAAGATGGTTCTTGCTTTATGATGATTCTAGTAATCTTTATTTTGTTGATCAGTCATAGCTCTCCTTGCTATTTCTTTTCCAGTATCATCTGTAGGAGGTACGTAGCCATTAACTACCATATCGCAAAGATCAACATCATGAACTAGAAAGAAACTTTCTAGTCTATCTTTCTAGTATTCAAACTTTTCTAATCAAAGATGAGAGGTTTAACATTCTAACTTTATCGTTTGAATCCTATGCAGCAACACATTGTGTGGGTTCAACCATTGTGTTTCTTCAAATAAAAACTCGTCTGGATCTTTATCTGACACATTTAAGTGTTTGATAACTATTAATACCATAACCGGAGCTCTGATGCCAACTGAAAGGTGTGAGAAACACAAGAATGGAGGGGGGTGAATTGGGTTTCACCAAATTAAATATTTTCGTTGTTGATCGGCCACTTAACTTAGAACATAAAAATAAATGAACAAAGTTATTTTTATCCTGGTTCGTTGTAAACTAAGATACTCCAGTACATCCCCTCAAGGATGATTTCGCCTTCAACATGGACTTAATCTACTATAACCAAACTGATTACAGACAATCCATAATAAGTCTCATCAACCCTATAGGCACCCACAATAAGTATGTCAATCTTTATTGCAAATCCACTCAAACCGTAGAAAGAGTCTTCTTGAGATCTGACTGTTACTTGGTCTCCCAAGGAATCAACAACAGTTGAATACTTTCAGTGTAATACATATTTCTTCTTTTAAGCGGATTACAAAGATGTTTCAGTACAAATAAAAAACACCTAAGTGTTCTACAACAAGACACGAGCAACAACTCCTTGCTTATTTACAAACCTATACACAGAAGATTTCTCTACAGAGTTTGCACACCGCTATGGAATAGTTTTGTTGAGCTTGATTTAATCCGATAGATTTTTCGTTGTAATGTTGATTCTTACATTTCTTCAGCTTCCAAGTCTTCCTTTTATAGTTTGTAAAAGAGATCCATTAGAAGGGTAGAAAGGTAATCAAAAGTCTAGATGTTAGTTCTTAACGGTCATAATGAGAGTGATCATAGTAAAGTAAGAAAGGACTATCATTTTGCCACTATAGAAGAGTAGAGGTCACAAACACTTTATGTACCTTTTGTACACCATCACACGTTAACCATTTTGAACTTTTTCTTATCTTCATAGGCTTCAGATAATTTGAATGTTGAAGCTTGTTGTAGAATATTTTCTCTTAAGTCTTAGAATCTAAGTCTTAGACTCTTCAGAACTTTTCCCATTAGAACCCCGTCTTCAGAGTCTTCACCACTTGGTTGTAAGAACTTGACTTTCTTCAGATCATCAAAACCTGTTCAGCAGAACCTTGTCTTTATAATCTTCAGAACTTGTAACACACAGAAGTAAAGATTTAGAAGGCCTCCAAATCTTAACCATAAATTCACGATAATAATCTCTTATACTAACGTTCCTTAGACACGTTGGATAAGACGTATTCAGAATCTTGACTTCAACTGTAACATGTAACCATGTGTTTTCTTCTAGAGTGTTTATGCTCATAACCTGATGACGTCATATGCCTTGTACCAGAGTCAGAATAATATAGCAGCAGCTGTACACTAGAATGAAACCATTAGAGTATACAATCTTTCTCTATGATATCATATAATGTTATCATCAAAATCCTAAGGCCAGATGTAGAAACACTTCTTGTTCTTGCGGTCCAATGAACAGTGCGCTAGGAGAGGGAAACGTCACCCAATGAACACATGTTTAGGTGGAAGTCACCAGTACTTTAAGAAAGATAAATTAGTGACTCTTCACTCCACGATACGTGGATCAGAATAGAGCCACAACCCGACGGCGCCTGCATTACCTTTCGCGACTACCGTGACCAGATATGGCGTCCTTACAAGAAAGGACTTGAACTTGAGGGGCTTATGTATATCCAAAATATAATAGGCCTGACTGGGTAGTGTAATTGGCATGGATAAAGGTTAAACTAGTATTTGGATCACGAATGAACGTATCTGGGGTGCAGCTCGACGAAAAGAGCATCAGATGATCTATGGACTCGGGTAGCAATCCGTCAATATCATCGACCCAGGTAAGGCAGGTGGTCGAGAAGCACATTCATGTAACTGGTCTTCATCTCATCTTATTAATGCTTGTAACCTCCTATGGAAAATTCATTATAGTGTTACATAACTTTGATTCCTCCATTCATAGAGACAGCGGGGGTTATCGAGTTATAAAACTTGAGTCAACAATTAACTGAGACTCTTGATGACGTAAAAGATACATATTATATAAAGGGGCTCCCGACAGAGGGATAAGCAATATAGTCATCTTAAGACACACGCTTCACTGAAGTAGCTCCCAATTCCCCCAATCATCCTATAAACTTACTCCGGTAGCTCTCCCTTAGACGGGAAGCCGGCTGGATATTTATTCTACGCAAGAACACTCGACATATCCCTTCTCAACCTCAACTTAATCAACCTCAATCTCAACATCAATCTTGACCTATCCCTTCTTTACCTCAACCTAATCAACCTAATTCTCAACATCCATCTCGACCCATCCCTTATCAAATTATGGTCATCGAAGCCCCATCTTCATCTAGCCATGTTAGTGGAGACTCTATTGGAACTAAAATCATAATACTTCCTGAAGTGATGGGTAATTCTCTTACTCGCAATAAATAGTTAATACTCCCTTTAAATCAATATTTATTTGTTTAAAATGTCTCTCTCTTTTTGCAGGTTTAATATTCACAAACTGGTGGTTGCATAAATTGCTCACATCATACATACTCATTTGATTGAGGGAAAGCCCTCATGAAAAAAATTATCAACTAATCAACGAGATTCTTTCTTTGACTTATTTCAGGTGATTAAATCTAAACATTGTCCAATATAATTCTGACTCACATTTTGTTTCATCTGAAAAGTCATCAAAAGACAACATAATCTTCAACATAGTCTCTAATTTGTAGTTACCAAAACTAGAGTACTTAAAAGATTTAATCTTTGTTTTATAGTTACCAAAACTATGCTTCTTGATTAGTCACTAACTAAATCAATTATTTTAACTTTAACATGCACACAATTGGAACACTTCAATTTGATTATGACAATTACATAATTAGAGTAACAATGTCATGTTTAGTAGTACAACTTTTCATTGAGTAAGAATGTCATGTTGCTGGATATTATTTTCTCCTGTTGTGGGGAACTGTATATCTTTATAATATTTGGTCTTTGTTTTTTTATGGACAACTTACATGTGGCATCTGTTTTGAAAACTATCACTGAAATGGACTCAGTTCTATATACACGTGGCATTGCATTATTTTGTACAATATAAGCATAGATGGAGAGTATGTTAGGCTTAGCCATTGGAGAATTTTCTTATTTCTCTTAGATGTTTGGCACTCTATGGGTATATTAGATGTTAAAATATTTTCATGTGATTTCTTAACAGAATTTTGAGCTTTAATCTTTGTCTCCGCGTGTCTTCTAGATGTGTATCTTGTATAAGCATATCGTAGCCACTTTCATTGCACTAAAGAAAGTTTATTATGTTGGCTTTTACGGATGATTGATTTATTCTATATTGAAACTAAGAATTATATTTAGCAACATTGAACTACAAAATAGGTGTAGTACATAATTCTGAATTATGTTCGAATCACTCATATATTGATTATTTTGATATAGAAAACGTTTACAAGGCCACCAGAACATAAGGTTACGTGTGACATATCTTTGAAAAAAAGAGGTACAACTAAGATGTCCCAACTAATGCAAGATGTTCACAAAAACTTAGAGTACAAACCGGATTGGATGGGAGATGATGTGTGGAAGCAATTATCGGTACATTGGAGTTCCTCTCAGTTCAAAAAAGCATCTCAAACAAATAAAAGGAATCATTGTTCTATGGATGGAAAATCTCTTCACACCGGAGGATCTATTCCTCATTGTTTGCATTGGAAAAGAATGGTATATATTATAAGTTTTTCATAAAGTTTCTTAAATTGGTATCTATAATTAATGACATTGTTTCTTGTTTCTTTTGTAATTTAGAAAAAGGAAAAGAGTGTAGATCCATCAATGACAGAGTTCTATTTTCTCACACATCAGAAAAATGATCAAAGTTGGGTAGGAGTTGTAGAATCCACATATGTGAGTACTTTGGAAAGTGTTGATTTTATTGAATTTCAAATATGTATACAACTCTTTTATAAAGTATCACTTTTATTTAATTTAGTTCCTTACTATTTTTTGAATTTTCTTTTAGGATAAATTTGAACGCAAAAAATTGGAAATTTCTTCTCAAAACCTAACTATTTCAGGAGAGGAAGAAGTTGATAGTCAATCAACTATTGGAATTCCATCTGATTTGGATATATGGGTAGAGTCGGTTAAAAAGAAGAAAAATGGGTTATTTGGTCTTGAAACCGTTTACAAGACTTTGGTTTCATTATCAAATAAACTCTGAAGTGTTTCAAGTGACTCTCAAGAGATTGATGCTTTGAGAAGTCAAGTCCATGCATGAAATGCATCATTGTAAAGACAAGAACAAGAGAAGCTGGAGATGAGACAACAATTGCATCAACAAAAAAAAGAGATGATCAAAGCGAATAATAAAATTTAATTTTTAATGAGTCATTTAGTATTTGTTGGGTCATCTTCTCATCCACCACAACCCAGTAATGAAAATGATCAAACAAATGAAGATGGCGTCGAAGAATCAGATGAAGAAGGCCTTAGTAATGAATTCTGATTTGTATTGTTTTTCTTGTTGACTTGATTATAATTTGGATAGTTTTATCTTTTCAAGTTGGATGGACAAATAGATATTACTAGTTTAGTTGTTTGAGTCATTTTTAGTAATGTGATTATGTAAGAACTTGTTACTAACTTTGTAGTAGTTTTTATAGTAAATTGTTGTTCTATGAATTTGTCTTATTTAAATTTAAAGTATTTTAAATTAAATTTTATATTTTATATTATTGTTGTGACTGAAAAATCAATCACACTCTAAAAGGCTTAGTAGAGAGGAATAATACTAAAGATTTTAAAGTTTAATCTTTTTATTTTTTGACGATAGTTTGAAACTTATTTGATAGTTTTAGTGTTGGTTGAATCTTCAAATCGATAATGTATAATAGATTCAATGGCACCAACTTGAAATCAAATAGATAGGAAGATGCATGAATGAATTGGATTTCCGACAGAAAATTTGTTTGTTTAAACACACATCAGTTATCCAGACCCACATGTACCTTAAAGGTTTATTAAAATTGACCAATTTCATAGTCCTATTTCTTATCATTTTGGTGGGATCTAATTGAGAGGGCTTCTTCCAATTAGTTAAATAAAAGTGAAATGTATATTAGACGGTTTTAACATGCCATCATTTTTCGTTATTCTAAAAATATTTTTGAATAAATTGAGTGGATGTAAAAAAACAAATTTTTTGTTTTATTTTTTAAATTTCCAATAGTTTTTCGAAATTTTCGATAGTTTTGCAAAAATTTTGGTATAATTTTTAAATATTTTTTAAAATAATTTAGAAAACATATTGAAATTTCCGATATTGCATTAGAAATTTTCAATAGTATAAAAAAAAATTTCTTCTAAAAAATAAAGTATCGGATTTTTCTATAAATCCGGTATTTTTTGGATTTTCCGATAAAATTCAATTTTTTTTAATTTAGTGATTGTACACATGCGTATAATGATAAAAACATATAAATGCGAGGTGTCATGTATAATTTTAGGAGTGATATGTTAAAATCTCATACTCTATCTATTATTGAAACAAAATAGTACTTAAAGTTTAATGCAACGAGTGTTGATTAATATTTTTTAGTAAACAAATCATAAGTTTTAGTTCATTCAAAAGATAAAACGAAAAAAAAATGTGGAGACATTTTGTATAAAAAGGTTGAGAAAATGCATTCATGCTTAAAGATTTAGCGTTTGAATTTAGAACAATTGACTAGAAATTCCATGAAGTAAAATACAAAATTGCTTGAAAGGATAAAGTAAATGAAGAAAGATAGTAAAAGCAATTATGCATTTTACTTGGAATTTCTGGCCAATTGCTCTAAATTTAAATACTAAACCTTTAAGTATAAATACATTTTCTCAAACTTTTTACACAAAATGTCCTTAGGATTTTTTCGAGTTTAATCCTTTGAGTTAATTAAAACTTGAGATTTTTTAACTAAAATATAAGTAAACAAATTGGCACGCCTAATGAGACCTTTTTGTGCATAAAAAAGAGATTAAACTTCAATAGAAATGTGTTTGAGCTATTATTTTCTGTTTTGTTCTTCATATATGCAATATTTTCAATGCCTGAGCATTTATGCGTCAGGGGATTGGTAAAATTCTGGAAATGACTCGCAAATCGTAAAAAAATCATTCCCTTCCTCAAAATGATGCTCTAAATGTAGAAGAACAACCAATTGAATCGACAGTTGGTGGTGCAGGTACTTCAACAACCATTGAAGTAACCGCTCATGTTATAAGTCAAACGCCAGTTTCGACGACATTTCCAGAAGTGGTGGTTCCCCAACCACAACCAACCAGTTTTCCAACAACTCCCAGGGTTACACAAACTACTATAGGAGACCTTAGACCTCCTAGTAGTAGGGAATATTCATATGTCATGCCAACTACATTGAGAGCAAACCTACAAACTAATGTATCAATGTATAAAGATAATACAATGATTATTGCATCTCCTATTAATCAATACTTAGCCCCAAGATATATTATAAGCAATTCTAGTTGAATGGCACCTGTAACTCCCTAAACTACTCAACGGATAATAAATAAATATCAGAGTTATTTTAAGGTAAATTAGGATGCCACATTTTCCAAAAACATACAACACATGCTCATAAATAGTATAAGATACATAATACAGATTTTCCGGATGAACCAAAACAAAGTAACATGTCTCAACTTCAATTTTTTTATTAATGCAATGGAAAAAGATTCATATTAGAAATCAACAAGCTTTTCAAACCAAAGCAACATTTATTTAGATAATTGGGAGTTCATAAGACTCCAAACAATAGCCGAAACAACGAAATAAAATAGGCGTGCATCTCTCCCGGTGTTACGTATCAGAGCAATGACACCAAGTCTAATTAAAACAAAGAGCAATCTCTTCGAACCTTCGCAGTCTCGTACTACTTCTTACTATCTGCATGATTCCGCATAAAGCATCATTTACTACGCCAAAACTGCTTTTAGGCATTACTCCTTAGACAACGCTTTTTTCCTAAAGCGCTGCTATAAGTTCAAAAATATTTTAAAACTATATTCTAAATTAAGAAAAAGCGCTGCTAAAGGATAACTTTAGAAAACGCTTCTCAAAAGTGTTGCTAAAGGCCATACATACTAGAGGGTTTTTAAAAAGCGCTGCTAGAGGCCACACTTTAGAAAGCGCGTCTGAAAAGCGCTGCTAAAGGACATCTTTAGAAAGCGCTTCATAAAAGCTTTGTCATAGGCCATAAAGTAGGCAGCGTTTTTTCATAGAAAGCGCTGCTAAAGGTAATACATAAGAAAGCATTTCAGAAAGTGCTTCCTTATGTCATTAATTTTTACGAACACCCTAAAATCCCAAAGCGCGGAGGCAGGACAAAATTGAAGCGAGAAACTCAGAGAAAAAAGTTCCTTTTCATCCCTTCACTTTTCTCCGCGAAATCTTTCATTGCTAAGCGTGACCCAGCGTTTGTACCGTGAAACAACTGTAACCTATTGTCTATACCTACTCACCACTCGCGATAACAACAACAACAACAACGCATCAATCCTTCTTCTTCATATCTCACCTACTTCTTCAATGACTCTTTTTCGTCTCTATTCATTGGGTCGAGGCATTTTCACACCTTGGAATGGTTTTAAGCAATTGGGTTTTTTAACTAAACCCTAAAAACATCTTTTTTATTTTATAGGTTGGTAATAACATTCAACTTTTATTATCGGTTTTGTTTTTCATGAATTGTACTTTTTTTTACTTTACTATTGTGTAATGTTTTTGTAGGTAGAAAGGGTCGGTGTAAGGGTAAGGTTGTGCATGCGTCTTTGTTTGGGGTTGGAGCAACTGAAGCCTTGGTGATTGGGGTTGTAGCTTTGTTGGTTTTTGGTCCTAAATTTCTTGTTGAGGTTAGTTTAATGTTCTTTAGTATCACTTATTTGGTTTGTTTACTACAATTTTGAATTAATTTTTCTATGCAATTCGAATTAGATTGAGTAAAGTTTGCTTATTATGTTTATGGTGAATGAATTTAAGAATTTTTCGTGACTTTCGATTCTGGTATTGCACGGTGTTTCACTTTTTAAATGAATTGGTTATTCTAAAAGCTTAATTTGTTTTCTGGTTAAGTAGTTTGATTCACGAAGCACAAACACCAAACCCTGGATATGACAATGACATAATTCACATCATTAGTAGTTTGAAAAAACCAGTAATTGAGATGAGGATGATATTTGTATGTAGCATGATTCTTGTTGGCATAAGTTTACGAGTTTATAATATACAAATTGATTTGTCTTAGATACCATTTTTGTTTATGTCAAAGTGATAGTGATTATTTTTTATGAAGGAAACTTTTAAATTGAGTTGAAAACTTTGAGGATATTATGATGAACATGTCAATTTTAATCAAGGTTTGAAGTTTGGGTTCAATTTGAATAGTGAGTTTTGATGAGATACCATGTCATTAATGGTAAATTGTGTTGCAATGTTGTTGTTGTTACGTGGAAGATAAGTATTGATGGTATTGGTGTTAAATTCGAATAAAGTTTTGTTTGTATCATGGTCTTTGTTGGCCTGAATTATTGAATTTCTAATGGTGGGTTATAACAGATTCTTGATTTAGATGCCATTTTGTTTGAGTCATTTTCGAAGCTTTTGATGACATCTTTTGTGTTATATCGTTTGGTTTCAAATGATAATTTTTGTTGTAACATTGGTTGCTTTCCCGTTTTGTTTTGAACATATTTAAAATGAAATTAGGAAACCTAATTGTTTATGTATAGTTGCTACCCAGTTTCATCGCCGCTGCTGCATCTCCGATTTCTCTTGTGAAGAGTGAAATTATGAATGTTTCCAAGAATCATAAACCGTGTGGTTTCCATAAGTTGTTGACTTCTCTATATTTAATTAGTTGTTCTTTTGTTATAGTTGCGTGAATAATGAGTGTTTTTGTTTAGCTTACTTAGTAAAACCGTGGATAAAAAATGGATGTCTTCCAATCATTATCAAAAGAGTACGAGAATGGGGTATTAGAATTCGTTAAGTTTGTTGGTGAACACGTAAAAGACCCCAATTGAATCACATGTCCTTATTTAGGTTCCTATTATGGGCGTCGTATTGACGCAGTTGAGTTGGAATCACATTTAAAGAGGCATGAAATTGATCAAAGTTATACATGTTGGACATTACATGGTGAGATAAGTAACAAGAACGTTGAA